CTTATACGATGTATCTAAAATAGTCAAATTCAAAGAAACAATAAAATGGTGATTGCCAAGGATTGGAGGGAGGGAAATAGGAAGTTGCTATTCAAAGGATAAAAAGTTTCAGTTATGAAAGATCACTAAGTTCTAGAAATCTGCTGTGCAACATTGTACCTCTAATTAACAATAGTTAATATTGTTACTTGAAACATTTATCAAGAGGGTAGATAACATGTTGTGTTCTTATCACCATAAAAATAAAAACACAATATCCCTGAGTGGTTGTGTGGAAGTAGTTTGGAAGTGAAAGAGACTGAGGCCAGAGTAGCCAATTAGGAGGCTCTTCCTGTTGTCCAAGTAGGAGTTAACAGGAGCCCAAGATAAAGCAAGGCCAAAGGCTGGGAGGAAGAGAATGAATTCAAGTTTGACCATATCCTAGGGATGAGAGTCCGTGGTTAAGGGAAAGAGGAGTGGAGGATGACTTGAGGATTCCATCTGGGTGGACGGGGTGGATGGTAGTGCCTGAAGCAAGAGGGACACAAACAGATCGTGTGCATAGGAGATGGTTTTCAGTGCACTGAGTTTAATGCGATTCCTTGGCTAGCAACTTGGTAACATGCAGAAGGAAGACTCAGACAAGAATCTGAAGGTAAGAGCCAAGGTCCAGAGAAAGGAAATGGACTGAGGGGAAGGCAGAACCTAACGGGATGCAGTTTTGTTTTGACTGTAGAATGGAGGAGACTTGAAAGCATTTTGGTACATTCAGTGGAAGAAGCCATTGCCGAGGATCGATGACAGGAGCGAGGAGGGGAGGATTGATGGAGCCCGGTCCTGGAGAGCGGCTAGAAGCAGGCCCAGATGGTGCTGTTAGCTGGGGGCAGGCGGAAGAGCAGTAATTAATCTGAGATAGAGGAGCGCTCTGGCTGCCATTAATCTCCTCTCCAAACGGCTCACCACCCCACGGAGGTTGGTTTTTTTTTTTTCAAATATGGCAAATCATGTCCCTAAGAGTCCTGGACAATTTTTACTTTTTAAGATTTGGCTACCTCCATCCATTTCCTTTTACAGGGGGCACAGCATTTCAGCACTCTCTGGAGGAAGCGCTTCCTCCTGGGCATGCGTAGTCTTCTCGGTGGGCTGTCCGCCCCGCCCATCGCCCCACCGCCAGGGTGGTCATGTGATCCAGCTGAACCAATCAGCACCTTTTCCGGGGCCTTTGGTCTTTGAGCCCCTGACGTAGGGACAGGAAGTAGCTGGTTCTCTCCTTCATCTTGGTGCCTGGGCCCCAAAGCGTCTGCCTCCAGGCTTTGCTCTCAGTCCCCCCAGAGCCACCCTCGCTCCCTCCATCTTTCCTTCAGTTTTTGTGTGGTTCCCGATATCATTTCAGTACGTTTTATTTCTGTTTAAGTTGAACACAGTTTCTGTTGATTTTGACCAAAGTATATGAATGATAACTCAGGACATTTTTAGAGAAATAGACCGTCTACTGACCGAGGCCCCATGGGGATCTTCAACTCTCGCATTTTACAGAGCAGTTTTCTGATCAGGCATCTCTACCCCTGATTGACCAGAAAACAAGACGCAAGGACCTGGGAGAGAAGCTCTGACCACGCCCAGCTCTTTTCCTACTCTGCGTCCTTTCCCTTCTGCACCTCCTCGCTTGCTCGTTGCCTCCTTTATTCCATCCTAAAGGGAAGACCAGGGGCTCCAACTGCTCCCTACATATTTCACCCAGCACTGAGGAATCAGAAGCCATTGGGTTCCAATGTCCAGAGTAGAAGACACACCTGGCAGAGAGGCCCCGAGCCCCTGATGCTGTAAAGGTAAAATTTCTAAGCTGACTCTAAGCTGCAAGAGTCTGAGTTAAAATGTAAAAGACTGGGGATTGTAAAGTTTCTAAATTGAAAGGCTTGGGCTAAAAATAATAATAATAGGCCAGGTATTGTTAAAATTCCTTTGCTACCCCCAGAACCTGTAATCTCTGTAGCTGTTAGAACAATACCTGAACTGCCCAGTAAATATTTCCATTGATTCCCTGGTTGTTTATTAGCTAAGGGCTCCAAATAGCTCAGATGTAAGCATCCAGACCACAAAACCAATCAGTTTAAATGTGTACCCCGCTCAGGGGTGACCAATCACCCCTGCCCAGATTGTTCCCGCCAATAGATGTACTAATCATGGCTCAGGGTTGTTGTTCAATTTTTCCGTGCCTCAAGATGATTTGTTTTGATGTATGCAAAGCCCCCCACCCTCTCCAAAAAGTGTACTTAAGCTCTGCTTGACTTCTGCTCTGGGCTCTGGGCTGCTCTTCCTTCCTGAGTGAGCCTTGAGCCCCAGCATGCTGGTTCAATAAAACTTCCCCCTGCAATTGCATGAAGCTGGTCTCTAAGCCCGGATGCCAGCGCCAGCCCTGTGCCCTCCCCTGCACTCCCTTCCAGCTGTGCTCTTAGTGGAAACCCTGTTCTTTTAGTCCAATAATGTCATGAGGCAGTGTCACTCTCTGCCCCCCATTTGGGGTAGGGGCTAGGAGCACAACCTTTCAAGTCACGCAGAGGTGGGTTCAAATCATGACTCTACCATTTATTTACCCACTGTGCGACTTTGGGCAAGTCACTTGACTTCTCAGACTGCCAGTTTCCTGGACAACGAATTAGAGAAAATAACCCCGGCTCAGCAGGGTAGTTGTAAGAGTAAAATGGGGCAATACAGATCAGGTGCTTCCAGGAGGCCTTGGCACACAAAATGTGCTCAAGCCCTGATTTCTCTTATTGCTGCTTCTTCATAGCTGGGACAAATTCACCTGCGAAGTCTGCACATGCTCAAGGCAACATGAGATGTGGCAGGTGGCTCAGGTGAGATGCGTTCGTAGTGGTAGGAAGAGATGAATGCTTAGGACCCCTGTGGGCACAGAATGGACAGGTAACATGTCACCCTTGAGCTGGACTGTGAAGAATGACTACAATAGGTGAGGGAGAGGGCAGGCCCCCAGCCAGGACAGTGTGCTTACGGAATGCTTCATTGGCTGCTTGGGCAGCAGTCTGGCTTTTGCGAAATAAGGAGGTGTAAGAAGCTGGGGAGAGAAAACCTGGGTCTGGGGACCTCTGATTTGTTGACATGGCCATGTGTTAGGTCTCCTGTCATTCTCTGAGCCTCCATTCTGGCACCTCCCTTTCCTCTAAGGTCGTGGGGTTGTAGGCAGGCATCAATCTGCTGGGCCTGGTGAGTTCCTGGCCAGTGGGGCTTCTGGTCAAGATGTCCTGCCTCCACCAGGAAGCAGGCATTTGCTTTGGGGAAATACCTCCTCTCAGGGTGACCTACCATCTGCCATGTCTGTAGGTGCCCTCTGGAAAGGAGGAGGCCCGCAGTGTCCCTAGCTCAACCTTGCCCTTGTGTTTAAAACCAGGGTGCCCATGATGGCCACCTCCAGTCCCCCGTGTCCCAGCAGGAGATGATTAATGGCTTAGCTGCGCCACTGTGTTGTCTTTAGGTCTGTCCCCCAGCAGAGAGATTTTCTTTTCAGATAAAGCAAATGCAGGCCCTGCCTGGGCTGTGGTCCCCGCCCAGTCCTCCCTCCTGCCTGGCAGGGAGCTCTGAAAGGTAAATGAGTTGATAAGACAGCGGGGACCTGAATGGCTGTATCTTTAGTGGCCCTTGTAAACAGTGTAAAGTCACCTTGATGTGCCAGGACAAATGACGCTAGAGTGGGCAGAACAGAGTTTGGTGGTGCTGGGGGAGGGGCCCCCATATGGAGCTGTCAGGGACCCACCTCTTTCTGCCCATGTCTTTTCTGTATGGGGACACAAACTCAAACTCTGTCTCATACCAGCTGCAAGACATCCTGGACTTCCCTGCTTCCACTGTAAAAGAGGGTGTTATGGGCTGCATTATATCCCCCACAAGAAGATGAAGAGTTGAAGTCTGAACTCCCAGTACTTGTGGGTGTGCCTTTATTTGGAAACAGGGTCTTTGCTGATGATAGAGTTAAAATGAAGTCGTAGCACTGGTGTCCCTATAACAAGGGGAAATTCAGACACAGAGAAAGACACACAGGGCTCATGCAGCATGAAACTGCACCCACAAAGAACACCAGAGACGGCCAGCACTCCACCAGAAGCTAGGGAAGAGGCAGGGACAGATGCCCCCTCACCACCCCAGAAGGAACCCACCCTGCTGTCACTTCGATCTTGGACTTGCAGCTTTCAGAACTGTAAGCCAGTACGTTTCTGTTGTTCTAAACTGTACAGTTTGGGGCACTTCATTATGCAGCCCTTGCAACTAATACAGGGTATAATTGTCCCTCCCATGGAGGATATAATAAGGAAACCCACACAAAGCAACTCCTGCGTAGCGGGTGTGCGTAAGTCTTGGGATTTCAAGGCCAGGAGGTTCATCCTGAGATGTAAGGGGCAAGAATTGAGGCAGAGGTAGACAGAGAGCTGCTAGACCACAGGGCCAGAAAGGGCTGCCAGATGGTCAGCCTTCCTCTCTTCAAAATAGACACATGGGGTTCAGAGCTTAGGAGGGGGCTGCGTACAGCACGATTCTGTTTATATGAAATATTCAGACAAGGCAAATCCACAGAGAGAACAGTGGTTGCCAGATGCTGGCATATGTTAAAGAGAAGTCAATTTCTCATGTAAAGCCACTCAGGTTGGGGCACTGTGTTAACAGTGGTCCTCACAGACTAACGCATGGGAAAATGGAAGGTGACTTTTTTTTTTTTTAGTTGTAAACGGACACAACGCCTTTATTTTGTTTATTTATTTTTATGTGGTGCTGAGGATTGAACCCAGTACCTCACTGGCAAGCCCTCTACCTCTGAGCTACAAACCCAACCTGGAAGGTGACTTTTTAAGGTATACGAGGGCTCTTCCATGGGTGGGGACCGTGTTCTGGAACTAGATACATGGGGCAGCCGTTACATAACACCAGGAAGGTACTCCCACCACTTAACTGTGTGCTTTATTTTTGTTTTTTTTTTAATATTTATTTTTTTTAGGTGGACACAATATTTTACATTTATGTGGTGCCCAAGAATCGAACCCAGTGCCTCGCACATGCTAGGTGAGTGCGCTACCACTTGAGCCACACCCCAGCCCTAACTGTGTGCTTTAAAATGATGAATCTTATGTTGTGAAAATACATTGCACACTCAAAAAAACAGAACACAAGATTTGGGGAGCACTCAAGAAGTCTCAGGAGTTGGAACACCTTTGAAGGAGGTACGGGGAGCTTGTCTCGTGGAGCAAGGGGTAGGTAACCAGGGTTGCAGTGATATGTGGATCATGTGTTTTAAAAGCCATATTCTGGCTTTTAAAAAAAGGGAGGCTCAAGGTGGAATTCTCAGCTATTGTGGGGTCCCAGGAGACTCAGGTGGGCATATTATCTCTGGGTGAAAGGCCTGGGTGGTGGAGGGAGGCAGAGCGTATAAGAACCTGGCTTTTTGCTTAGGATCTTCTGGGTTTTCCTGTTCTCTTTACCTGCCTTTGGGCTCACTATTAAAACCTGGAAAGTCCCCCACATAGTCTTTTCTTCCTGACCTCTGACCTCTGGCCTCTGGTCAGGCTTGCAGGCCAGCGCAACCTGTCACCGTCAGCCCCTTGCCCTGCCTGTCCTGCCTGTAGCTTTCAGAAAAGAACCAGAGCAAGCTGGAGAGAGGTGGTGAAGGTGGGCAGAGGCCCCTCCAGAATGACCGAAGGGGTGCCCGTGGGGCTGATGTGGATGCCCAAAGCATCTACAGAGGATACTGCCTGTGTCAGGCGCTGTTCTAGTGTTGACTCATTTGTCCTCATGGCAATTTAAGGAGGTCTATCCTTAAAATTCCCAGTTGCAGATAAGAAAAGTGAAGCAGCAAGAATCAAGAATGCCAGGGTTTGACCAGATGCCAACCCTGGGACTCCCGCCCAGAGACGGTGCCTTACCCACCAAGTCAGGGTCTCAGCGGTGTGAGTCTGTATGACTGTCCACTCCGAGTGGCCCAGGGATGAGATGAGGCTCACCCTTGAAGTTGAAGAGACTTAAGATGAGGAAGTGAGGCCACTAAGAGCCTTCTAAAAGCAAAGGCCTGTGGTCCCCAAAGGGATGACTAGCACTTCAGCTGTGATGGGACAGGCACCTGCTGGTCCCCTCCTGGGGCAGTTTAGAGGGGGCCAACTCCAGGGCTTGGTGTAGTCTGGAGAGTCAGGACTGAGACCGTGGGCAGATTCAGAGGATGGGCTGGGGATAAAAAGAGAAACTAAGGTCCCACAGGGGCTTTCCGCAGCAGTGCCGCCAGAAAGCCCTGAACTCAACCCAGGCACCCAAGACTGACAAGGCTCTGGACTAGTGGCTGGAGAAGCCCCCCGAGAGGCCAAGGCCACAGAGACACCCTCACAGGACTTGTGCCGGAAATCAGTGAGGGGTCAAGTAGGACAGTGGAGAATTTGAGGAGAAAGCAGATAAAGAAGAGAAAGCTCCATCTCCATCAGAAGAGATCTGCCTCCCCCAAGGAGCCTGATGGCAGGTGTGTGCCAGGTGGGTGACCCCGGTCCTCAGCGCCCAAGTCCCTCTCTGGCCTTGCCTCTGCAGGTGCATCTGCCTTTCTAGCAGCTCTGTGTGTGGTCAGGCCTGGTTAGAGGGGAGTGCTTGGTGGCCACTGGTCACGCTGGCCTGGTACTCGGGAGCACCCTGGTTCTCAGACAGAACTATGGACAGGTGGTGATGGGCCTGTCAGACTCCCTGGGCCTGAAGTCCCACTCCCAGTTCTCCATCTTCCTCAGAAAACACGTTTCTAGAGAGGCTCTTAGTCCAAAAGTGTGGCTCGAATGGTGGTGTCTTGGGCATCACTCACCTACTCAGTGCACACTTAGGAAGGTCTCACCATGCGCCAGGAATCAAGGTAGCTCTGTGCACAATGGTGGATAAGAAAAGCATGGTCTTTAGCCTAGTGAAGGTTTTGTTCCAGGGGCCAGCTTTGGTGGGAATATTTGATGTCCTACTATAAAGCAGTCTCCAACAACCTGGGGACCATCACCTTCATGGTTCCTGTCCACCTGAGGAGCATGGGAGAAGGTCTAACATAAAGAGGGGGTTCCAATTCATTTTTTTAAATTTCTTTTTTCCCTCACTTAGTTTTTAAAAAATTAGCACTGGGAAGTTTTAGGAATTCTAAAGTTCCAGTCCCTTCCACACTAGTAAGGGGCTGGTGTGGGCTCTATGACCCCTCTTAAAGGGAATCTCAACTGAAATCCTGCTTAACTGAGGAAAATCAAGGCAGATGACCCCGTAGGGTTGAGCAGTGGGTCAGTCCCCTGACATGATGAGTGCTCCTCTGGTTCTTTCCTCATAACTCTCATCCTCTAAAACTTTGCCCCTGGCTGGCCCGTCCCTAGGAGGCTGTGCCAACTTTGCAGAAACTGGCTTCTGAGAGACCCTTTAGTATCTCAAACATGGGGGCTATTTTCCAAAAGAAGAAACCTTTCCAGAGAGTTTGGTCTCCTAGGAGATCTTTCTGGAAAAAGCAGAGCCCCTAACACCCCCAAGGCCTTTCAACGGCAGATAGTTCTATGAGGAATGCCATCTGGACTTTTCAGAGACCCTGTCCCACCAAGCAGAGGACTCCAACCTCTGCGTGCCCTCGCCTGCACATCCTTCTCACCCTGAAGGAGCCTTCTGCCTGTCCCCCAAGAAGCCCTTCCACACCCGCCCCCCTGCCCCAGCTGGGAGAGCTCTGCTCCCTCCCCCTCCTGATCTGGCAGGAGGAGTGGAAACTTTCGTGGAAAGCACTTGATCTGACTGACGAATGCTCAGAGTCAGAACTTAGACTCCGGCCTTGACTGGGCCAGGGGCTCAGGATCCAGGGAGACCTCTCCTTCCGGGGGTCAGGACCTCCTACCCTGGCTCCTCCCCTGGGTCTCTGATGGCTGTCACTCACCAACTCCCAGTGACCCCAGGTGAAGGCTGCACCTAGAGAGGTCATCATCTCCCCCACCATACTTGCCCTTCCCTGTTCCTCCCCGCTTGATGATATATGTCCTCCCTGCTTTCCTGTGCCCACCGGATTCTGAGGCATCTGCATGGGGCTCGGTAGGTTTGGAAGTCCAGAGCGTTTGGCTGTTTTGTTTGAGACCTGGTTATGGTTGTGGGATTTTTTTTTTTTTTTTGTCAGCTGCCTGTTATATCAATCACGGAGTTGAGATCTATTTATAGGTTGGGAGTACTGTGTCCTTAGTCACAAAGAGACACAGACAGGGGACTGTCAGCTGGTGCTGGAGGAGCCGAACAACGAGTCATCAGCCACTGGAAACACCTGAGAGTGACCGTTCCACGGCAGCCCCGTGCCCCACGCCAGCACTAGCATGTAAGTCACCGAACTTCTCCCTCTGGTCCTGCCCAGACTGCCCTGGACCTCCCTGTCCTTCTCCCTACACAGCCCCCTTCTCTCTCTCTCTCTCT